TTCTCATTCTATGGTTGAGTAGTATTCCATTTTATAGAAAAACCACATCTTTATCCAGTTTCCAATTGATGAGCAGATGGGCTGTTTCCAACTTTTAGCTATTACAAACTGCCACTATAAAGATGGGTACGCACATATCACTGTGGTATGATTCTTTCACTTCTTTTGGAAAGAAACCCAACAGAGGAGTGGCTGGGTCAAATGGAACCTCTAATCCTAGTTCTTTGAGGTATCTCAATATTGACTTCCATAGTGATTGCACCAGTTTGCACTCCCACCAACAATGGAGAAACGTTCCTTTCTCCCCACAACTGCGCCAACATTTGTTATTGTGTGATTTCTTTATAGCAGCCATTCTTTGTGGGGTGAGGTGAAATCTCAGTGTTGTTTTCATCTTCATCTCTCGAATGACCAGTGATGTGGAACATTTTTTTATATATTGCTGCTTTTATTTCTTTGAGAAATATCTGTTCATTTCAGATGCCCACTTTAGAATTGGGTCTTTATATTTGGGGGGGGGCTGGTTGTTTTGAGTTCTTTATATATTTTAGATAATAGTCCTTTGTCTGAGGAGCAGCTGGTAAAAAGTTTTTCCCACATTGTAGGTTGTCTCTTAGTTCTGTTGAAGGTTTCTTTTGCAGTGCAGAAGCTTTTTAATAAGATGAGATCCCAGTTGTTGATTCTTTCTGCTAGTTCCCCTGCCACTGAGGATTTGTTCATAAAGTCTTTTCCTATGCCAATGTCTTCCAGAGTTCTGCCTAACTTATCTTCCAGCAAGTTTAATGTTTCTGTTTTTGTGTTTAGGTCTTTAATCCACTTGGATTTTAATTTAGTGCATGGTGACAGATAAGGGCCTAGTTTTAATCTTTTGCAGGTTGAGATCCAGTTTTTCCAACACCATTTATTAAAGAGGCTATCTTTCCTCCAGTGGGGACTGGCAGCTCCTTTGTCAAAGATGAGGTAGCTGAGTACATCTGGAGTTGTTTTTGTGTCTTCCAATCTGTTCCACTGATCCTCAGGTCTGCTTTGCCAGTACCATGCTGTTTTTATCACAGTGGATTTGTAGTATAGTTTCATATTGTATTTCCCAATATTATGAAGATACTCTTTAGTGAGCAGTGAGTCCAAGTCAGTAAATCCTAAAATACAATCATAATTTGTTTTAGATTTTTATATTGCCTTGTATTTACTCAGTAGTTTATTAAGTGCTTTGGATGATGTATCCTCTTCATTTTTTGAGTGAAGCCATGGCTAGAACAGTTTTCTAGGTTCATCAAATTCCTTTTTGTCCTGGGCCTAAAATGAGCCATTTCTCCAGCTATATTTCCTTATATTGGGGAATGTTATTCAGAAACTTATAATACGGTGTGTTTATTCATGAGGGCACTTGTCTTTCAGGTGAAAGACCTAGGGCACTGGTGGTAAACTTGTCTGTATAGCACAGTCTGTATGTTTCATCTGGCTGTTAGCATTAAAAGCTCTAAACGGCTAGCACTGGCCTAGAAAATTACATTCAAGTTAAAAATGAATTAACCACTGAATACTTTGAAATTCAACTCAACACCACAAGAATTTTCCTAGTCTGTTCCTATCCATAATTCTGCCTTCAAAAGTGGAATTCATTTATCCAGTTGACAATAATAGGTGAACTTCCTGTGTTGTAATAAGGGACCATGAATAAAAACACGAAAGATCAAACACTAGACTAAAAAATTCATAAACTGCTTTAACTGGAGTCTTGTGAATTGACTTCAGAAGTTAATTTCATAACTAGTAGTTTTTTTATTGGTTTAAAGGCCAAAATCTTCCTGGGTAACAAAACAGCCTCCTATATCTACGTAACACTGAGGTAGCTATTATATATGTACAAAAGTGTGCCCTTCAGAAAATTCACAGGTTGCTATAGCAAAGATGGGGGGGAGGAATTTGCTTTTAATTCAAAGTAAGCTGAATTTAGAAAGTCAATTTTTAAAAAAAATAACTTTAATTTCTTTGGCACTATCTAGAAATGATTGTAGAACCATTTAAATGAAGTTTTCATTAGTCATTCCATCTTAGTTCTAACGTTTAACTGGATTCTTGTCCATGGGGATTATTTTCAAAGTTGAAGTCTGTCTTGAGATCAGATTGGTTTTACACCTGGAGTATGCTAGTCATACAAAAATGGCAAAACTAGAGGGAGGCCAGGTGTGTTGCCTTTTCTGTTGAGTTGGCTTGAGTTAATTATCTACTGCCTTCAGAACAAGCTGGAGATTGGCATCCCAGCCTATCTTTACTCAACTTTGCCGTTTTTTTTTTTTTGACAGTATTCATGTAGCCTAGGCTGGCCTTGAGTTTGCAGTGATCCTCCTTCCTTGACTTCCCACACCTGGATTAAACCAAGATATTCTAAGGCAGTGAGCTTTAGCGCTTCCAGTAATAGTGGCTAGCTGTGGCATGTGTGCCATAGGTTTGCCACCACTTCTCTGGTTTAGATGTGGGTCTAGATGTGGAACTGATGGAGCAGCTTCGTGGTTTTCAAGTTGAGGCTTCCACCTTGTTGCTTGCTGCTGCTTTCTGCCCTTGGCAAGTTGTTTTATTATCCAGATGTATGTTGGAGCCCTACATTTCACGTGTAGGTTCTGGGCAACTAACTGGAGAT